ACAAAACAGTCTGTCAACGGACAAGGTAAATGTGACTTAGACTTCAGTGGATGACCAACTCACCCCGTTTGTGTTTTTATTCCAAGGAAGAAAGCAGAATGATTTAAATGCCTTGTAATCTGGGCCCTGTTGACAGTAACAACCCAGACGGGAGGAAATAAATGGAGAGGAGGACTCTAATGTCAAAAGAGAAATCGTTTTATACGTGTTTCCAGAAATAATTGCATGAAAATTATTAAATAAAGAAAAATTGAAATTAGGGAACATCAACTTTGAAGCTAATCTTATGCAAAGCTGAAAATGTTATTAAAATTTGAAGTTTCACTTAAGGACTTTTTAAATAAAAATAAATCTCATCAAACCTATGTAGAGTTGAGATGCATTTAGCATGCTAAATGTTAAATATGGATCTGTGTTGTGCAAATTTGAGAATAGTATATATTGCTTAATATTTTACAATGATCTGATTCAAACTGATTCCCATATACCCGAGGAGGCAGGATTTGTAATGCAGGGGCTCCTGAGGGTCCTGAGCCTCAGAATCCCCTCTCCATCAGAAAGGAGTCGTTGGGCTAGTCTGAGTCTCTGGTTGAGGCGAACAACAGCCAACAGGATAACAATCCAGGGACGCATTGCCTCCTCTTAACAGATGACAAGCAGGGTTTCTCTCTCCCTACTTCGCTCCTTCTGCATCTAGCGGGAGCTTTCCTCTTTTCTTGCTATGCCAACTCATTCTCTTTTTAGCTGAGAGCCATGTCCCTGGAGGGCCACCTCTGGGCTCACAGCACGACCCACACCCTCACTGTGTGTCTCAGACATCAGCCACCACGGTCAATGTCCCAAGACTCAGACTCACTTGTGTCACGCATCCTTTAAGATCGCTCACAGCCTCTCAGCTCATCCAAGCCTGAGCTCATTGATTCTGTGCCCCTGCACCATTTTCAGTTTCTTGAAGGTGTGCATTATATTTGTAGGGAGGGCAAGCAGGGAGAAACTTGTTCACTTCCGTGTCTCTTTAATGCAAAACCATGATTCTTTAGGAAAGTGTTCCAATACTAGTCCCGAAGGTAAGAGATGACCCTAGAGGTCTGCAAAAGACCCTGCAAGCATTTGTGCAAGAAGTGCAGAATCTCCAAGGTGACCTCACTCTGACTCCTAGAATAGTGCCTGCCATTGTTGGAGAACTGGCTGGGAAGCGAAAGTCCATGTCCCTCATCGATAACTTTAGAGAAGTCAAGTGAATGGTTGGCTGATGTTTTAAAAACAAATCATAATAATCATTATTAGTTTCAGTTGCCAGCGAACAATGGTTTAGTTCTGCTGTTGAGCATGCATGAAGGTCATTTAGTTTGTATATTTTAATAAAAAGGCATCTGGAGCAGGGCATGGTAATGCACACCTGTAATCCTGGTGATTAGGAGGCAGAGGCAGGAGGGTCTGGAGCTCAAAATCATCTTCAGCTCCATAGCCAATCTGAGGGCAGCCTGAGCGACTTAGACTTTGACTCAAAACACAAAACCAAACAAGACGTTTGTATGTTCCTGGACAAAAGGATGTCAAGAAGTATTTACATGTGTTATCTTTTCTACAAAAAAAGGGTGGTGGTAAAAATCTAATCATTGCTTCAAAAGAAATGTCTGAAGACTATACCAGCAACAATGGAGAGGGGCGATCACCATAGGGTGGGTGGGAGCCGAGCAGAGAAAGGAAAAATGCTTGTCTAAGGATGCCTTCTGCAGTGTGCTGTTTTTTAGAACACGTCCTTCCAAAATGGCAACCTGGATGCTGGGGAAGCCGAAATCAAGCGCAAATAACAAGCATCCCTAACCCCATTACAAGTGACAACATAACCACACAGGAAGCAAAGAGGAACCTCAGCTATTTACAACAGAGATTACCGTGTGGACTTTTCCTGGGAAGTGGAACAAACATCTGCTCGCCCCAGATAAGGCACCAATGGCAGAACAAAGAAACAATCTCACCCTTGTCTAGTTTGGTGAACCAAGGAGTTTAATTAGGGTTGCTTTCAGGGACGTGGGTGGGATTAATAGGAGCATAGGCAGCTTGCTAGTGGCTACATTACTGAAGAAAAGTCTTCTTTGGAAATCATTAGCTGCTGCCATATCTTTAGTGGTGGGCAGGGTCTCCTAAACCCTTTCCCAGCAATTGTCAACTGCCTAGGTGTCCCCATACTGACTATTTTAGCCCTTCTCTCAAAAAGAGGAAGGGTGGGGTTTCATGAGCCCTCCCTTAATAATGGAGTTGTTAACGGGTCCAATTTCATGCTGCTGAGCATTCAAGAGGTCAATGACCATATCCTATCTTGCATATATACACATATATACGTTTACGTGCGTGTGTGTTTCTTTTGCAGTACTAGCTATTGAACTTGGGGGTCTCATACTTAGTGTCAAGCATGCTGCCACTGAGTTTTAAGACATCTCTTGCTTTCTAGGACAGGCTCCAAAGCTACAAAGAAACCCTGTTTTGGAAAACAAAAACAAAAATAAACAAACAAAAAGACGTCTCTCACTAAATTGCTCAGGCAGGCCCTAAATTATTTGCCATCTTTTGCCTCTGTCTCCCAAGTAGCTCTGAGCTACCTGGCTGGGAAATTTTCAGTTGTTGGGGCATAGGGTGGCAATCAAATACTTCTCCAAAACTCTGCAGCGGCTTATTTCGATCCATATATCCCATGTTAAGATATAGACATATGGTAAGACATATCTTTGTAATAGTTCAGACAACAGAGCACCATTTTGCTTTGGTCACAAAAGTTCCTCAAATCACTGTTCTAAAAGGAAGTTCACCCCGTGTAGGACTAGAGCACACAACCTCGACAGTTGGGCTTTGTCAAATTTAATTATATGTGTCTCTTGAAGATGTCATAAGCATCCGAGGCGCCGCTATTCTTGGCGGGATAATGGCTTCAAACGTATTTCGGAGAAAATGTGCACCGAATTTAAAGACTCAACTTCTGGTTTTACTAGGGCCATTTTTTTCAACACGATACAGTATTTTGTAGAAGCAAAGAAAATCATCGTAAAACTGTTTCCGCCCGGTTTCGAACCGGGGACCTTTCGCGTGTGAGGCGAACGTGATAACCACTACACTACGGAAACGATGCTGTAGGTAGGCTGAATAACAAGCTACTGAAGCTATGATTCGACAGACTTGCGTTCACTTCAGAGAACTAGCTTTGTCCCACGAAGGTCCTTGATTTTGGCATGTTCAGCTGGAGCTGCTCTGAGTCATGATTCCCAACTAAATTTGCGCTCAGAGGATATAATCACCAATTATTTCTAACTAATAAACTGACAAAACAAGCAAAAAGGACAGCAGAAAGCTCTGGGAACCACAGGGCTATTGTTATTAATATAGCCAGGGCAAGATTCCCTCACAAAAACAAAACAAGTTCCACAACACAATCCGAAACTCTCTTTCCCCTTAGACTGGAATTCAACAAAAACAAATCTCAAAAGCATTTGGATTGCAAAACATGAAGGTATGCACCGCTAGTATAAAATATTAAAATTTGAATGAATACATAGTAGTGGGTAAATTTTATTTTTTAATATTTTATTTTTATTTTATGTGCATTGATGTTTTGCCTGCGTGTATGTCTGTGTGAGGGTGTTGGGTCTCCTGGAACTGGAGTTACAGACAGCTGTGAACTGCATGTGGGTACTAGGAATTGAATCCTGGTCCTCTAGAAGAACAGTCAGTGCTCCTAACCACTGAGCCATCTCTCCAGTCCCAGAAATATTATTTTTTAAGAGAACATATGGACTTGTTTCAAAACTCGAAGGATATAGAAAGAAGTACATGCTCGGGAAAGTGTCTTTCCTGCCCGGTCATCCTTCCTAGAGAAATTCTACTGTCTTCTTCTACAGACGAGGATATGGTAGAGTAGCTGGCTAACCCTTATCTTCCCAGGCTCTAGGAAACATTCTGACCGCTTTACATCTTCACAAAACTCTGTGAGGCATCAACTATGATTTACTTTAAATGTACAGACACAGACGCACGAAGAACCAAATACACTTAAAACATTTCCTGTCTTCCTAGATGGTATACTCCAGACTGTTCAGCTCTCTGCGCTTTTTAAACAGAACACATTCCGAAGATTCCTTTCCACATAGCTGAACACTGCTCCATTTAATATGCACGTAGATATTAATAATATATGATGGGACAGTGGCCAGTTGACAGGTTTTTTTTTTGTTTTGTTTTGTTTTGTTTTGTTTTTTGGTTAGCCTGTTTTGGTCGGTTGGTGGTTGCTTTCTGCGACACAGTCTCAGTTTGTAACCCAGGTTAGACAAGCCTGCGACGACTTGCCGCGATCCTCCTTCTTCTTCCCCTCCCCAAGTGGCGGACTTATAGGAGTGCTGGCAAGGTCGCAGTTTCTATAATGGGCATGGAAATGCCCAGTCCAGCTGGAGGGCGGCGCCTCCCTAACACCAGTCTTCCCTATCTCGCCAGACTCCGCCCACGATCCCACTCGGAGGGCCCTCAAACCAGCCCTAGGGCTACAGGGGCCGGAAGTAGTTGACGCTGAGCGGGCCCGCCCCTCAGCTTCCGGCGCTGGCTTTGGGAGTCCCTTCTGCAGTCGTCCGTGCCTGGTCGGTAGGATGGCGCTAGGCCGCTGCGGTTGTAGCACGGAGAGCAGGGTGCTGCTCCACGTCCTCGCTGCCCTCCGCCATCTGTCCCCGCTGGCGGGACATGGGGGCTTCTTCCGCTCTGTACGCGTTCCCCGCGGCCAGTCATCACAGAGATGCGGGCCTCCGCCGTCCTAGCCCTCCAGTCCTGTGCCCTCGTCTCGGCTAGAGCGTCTCCTCCTCGTTTCCGGTTGCCCCGGAGGTCGGGGCGGGGTGTGGGAGAAGTGGGCGTGTAGCACAACCTCGGAGGGAACGCGTGAGTCTAGGTCGTGTGGAGACGCCGGAAGCGTCGGGAGGGAGGCCGGAAGCTGGGGGGCGGGGCCAGGAAGTGAGGAGGGGCGGGGGTTTATGAGGAGGCCCGGGGAGCGTTGGGGCAGATTTGCACTCAGGTCCACCTGAGGTACTTGTCGGTGGCGCTCACCTCTGTTCCCTCTCCTCTCGGAGACACGACTGTTGTCTAGGGGTAGGGGACTGTGTGTGGTCGGGTGGGCTGGTCGGGAGGACATTCTTTCGGCCTCGCCGCAGGCAAGCTGTGGAGAAGCAGGACTTGGGGTGGGGACGGGTGTCCCGGGCTTCTGAGAAGGAAGACCCCCCCCCGGACCCCCCCTCGGCCCCCCCACCGCACTTCTACCCTGGCTGACTGGACACTAAGATGGCTGCCGTTGCCATGACACCCAACCCTGTGCAGACCCTTCAGGAGGAGGCGGTGTGCGCCATCTGCCTCGATTACTTCACGGACCCCGTGTCCATCGGCTGCGGGCACAACTTCTGCCGCGTGTGTGTAACCCAGTTGTGGGGCGGGGAAGACGAGGAGGACAGGGATGAGCTGGATCGGGAGGAGGAGGAGGAGGTCGGAGAGGAGGAAGAAGTGGAGGCTGTGGGAGCAGGCGGGGGCTGGGACACCCCCATGCGGGATGAAGATTATGAGGGTGACATGGAGGAGGAGGCCGAGGAGGAAGAGGAGGGTGTGTTCTGGAGTAGTGGCATAGACGGGTCCAACTGGGACAACATGGACTATGTGTGGGAGGAGGAGGAGGAGGAGGAGGAAGATCTGGACTATTACTTGGGAGATGTGGAGGACCTGAGGGGGGAAGATGAGGACGAGGAGGAGGAAGTGCTGGAGGAAGACGAGGAAGAAGAGCTAGACCCGATCACCCAACTGCCGCCTCCTCCAGCCCCTCGGAGGTGCTTCACTTGTCCCCAGTGTCGAAAAAGTTTTCCTCGGCGGAGCTTCCGCCCCAACCTGCAGTTGGCCAACATGGTCCAGGTGATTCGCCAGATGCACCCATCCCCTGGGCGCGGGAGTCGTGTGAACGAGCAAGGCATCTGCCCGAGACACCAAGAAGCCCTGAAACTCTTCTGCGAGGTGGACGAAGAAGCCATCTGTGTGGTGTGCCGAGAATCCAGGAGCCACAAACAGCACAGCGTGGTGCCGCTGGAGGAGGTGGTGCAGGAGTACAAGGTGGGTGGACCGGGCAAAGGTTGAGTGAGGGTAGGGAAGTGGGGAAGGGAATGAATCTTCTCCTAACAGGTCCTCCTGTGTTGGAGGAAGGAGTCTCCCCATCCAAGCGCTGACTTCCCAGGTGGATACGTGAGAAGGATCCTGTCGCTTCCTCGGTGGCTACAGGATAGGGGTGCAGGGGACAAGGACGGCCTCCCTGCCACTTGCCACTTAACTTCCTTCTGGATGGATCTTAAGTCTTACCCGTGACAGAATCACTTCCAGATGGAAAGAAATGGGGGCCCAAATGAACAAGGGAGTCTGAAACAGGAGCACCCAAATAACTAGTGTCAGATCCATGCACCCCACTTGGGGTTCTACACCCGTCCTGTGTTATGGCTTTGTTGGTTGGCTCTGCACTCAGTCTCGTGTATTAACCAGGAAAGAGAGGCTTTTAGGGCAAAAAAATTCTTGCTCAAGTTACAGAGTGTCTTTGAGCTTTAACTACCACAGGAATGTTAGTTAATATTGATAGGGCACTTTACATATAGTCAGTACTGTGCTGGCCACTTTTTCTGGATTATCATTCATAATTCAAAGTCACCCTGGGAGTTTGATGCTTGACATTCTTGTTTTATTGATTGGGAAACAGGTTTAAATTCTGAACATGGACGTTTATGTATGTTCAGCTTTAGTGACAGACTTGAATATGAACAGACTCCCCTTGGGGCATCTCGGTAACACTACTTGGATATTTCCGTTTGACTTTTCTGACTTGACTGTTGTTGACTAATTTTTGTTTGGTTAGCTCTCTTGTTTTTTATTTCCCTAATTCTTTGGACATATGAACGGGACATTTGTCTAAGAAGCAGTCAGTGCAAATAGAACTACCTTCTGATTAGAAGCCATGGAACTAGAAGGAGGGGGTAGTATCTGTATGGCTGCCCAGAGCTTTCTTCTATACCTCCTGATGGAGTCAGTAGTAGCTTCATTTAGGTGATCATCATCACCACCTCTACTGGAGAGTCTAAGGCTTCACAGATGATTGTCAGTTACTAAGGAGGTTTCGAAAGTACAGTAGGCCTAACTGCAAGTTCTGAATCAGAGTATCTGGAGAAAATTCAACCTAAGATGGGCGTGGTAGTGCCTTTTATCCCTGCACTTGGACGTGGGGACGTGGAGGCGGGAGAGCAGTTCAAGGTCATCCCTGACTACTTAGTGAGATAGAGTTACACGTGACTGGAGTTACTGGACACCCCTTGTTTGTCTGTTTGGATGTTTTCTAGATAGGGTTTCTCTGTGTAACTGTCCTGGCTGTCCTGGCTGTCACTTTGAGGACCAGGCTGGCCTCAAACTGATAGAGATCCGCCTGTCTCTGCCTCCTAAATGCTGAGATTAAAAGTGTGTACACCATCACCTGGGTTGTTTTTCAAGATTGGGTTTCTCTGTGTAGCTTTGAAGCCTGTCCTGGAATTCCGTCCAGAAAGCCAGGCTGGCCTTGAACTCAAAGACGTTCGCCGCCTCTCCCTAGTGCTGGGATTAAAGGCGTGAGCCACCACCGCACATCTTGTTTGTTTTGTTTTTTTTTTCATTATTTTATTTGGTTTTGGGGGATGGGTCTCTATATCCTTTGCTGTCCTGGAACTCACTATGTAGACCAGGCTTGTCTCGAACTCTCTGAGCTGCCTATGTGCAGGCGAGCCACCAATCCCGGCTCTTTTGTGTGTGAAGTGTAAGCACATGCAAAGGTCACAGGACAATTTTGGGAATTGGTTTCTACCTCCACATTGTGAGTCGAATGGATTGAACACATCAGGTTTAGCCACAAGCCTTTACTTGCTAAACCATCTTGCCTGCTCAGAGAGCTTGTTCAAAAAAAGGAAAAGGGCCAGGTGTGGTGGCACACACTTTTAATCCTAGCATTCTGGAGGCTGAAGCTCTCGGATCTCTGAGAGTTTGGAGCCAGCCTGATCTACTCAGCAAGTACTATGTCAGCCATATTCCATAGTGAGACCCTATCTCAAACAAAACAAAACCCCTCTAATATTGTATTTGAATTCATGCTTGCAATTTATTTGTCAATTTATACAAATACTAAAGGGTAAACTAAAGCTTTGTAAATTTTGAATTGATGGAGTAGAAATGACTGATTCTACTGTGGAAAATGCAATAATATCAAAGGGCATAATTTTGTGTATATTAATGGAATGACTGATTTATTACTCCTGTGATACTTCCTACAACCAGTTGTGTAACAATTGCCTTTTGTACTCAGGGTCAGTTATCTTTTAGTTCATGGGTCATTATCAGGATGCCACTGGCAGCTTACCGCCATAGTTAGCAAGTGCTGGATAATGTTTACTGATCTTTTGTCCAAACTTTGCTAAGTGTGCTGTGAGGTTGACATTATTCTCATTTTAAACTGGAGAAACTGGAAGCATGACTTGCCTCAAATCACCTAGATACAGTTTTGGTTCTGGTAGAGCTAGGCTCAAGGTCTATTCCTGTATTTCCCCCTAATGAAAAGGAGGGAACGAGTAATAAGGAGAAGACATAAAAGAAGGGAAAGAGCAGAAGGCACAGTTTATTATATCCATCCTGATTTCTGCAACACCCCTCAGGAAAAAGACATGACTGTAAATCCTTGGAATTGAAAGCCCATGTATCTGATTGGTGTTAGAATTGTAACTAAAAGAAGAAAGGGCTTTTGTTTTTCATGTGATAGCAATAGAATGGAAAACAAGGCAGACTGAACATAGAAACTAAACAAAGTGACAATCCTAGCACTAGGAAGGTAGAAGTGGGAGGGTAAGAAGTTCAAGGTCATCCTCAAATGTATAAGTTCCCTAGACTAACTTGGGCAGACCCTGCCTCAGAAGAGAAAAGTGAGGGTGAAGGATCCTGTAATGCCTGGAACACACATCTGTAAAATTGCTTATGCTCCGGGATGTGGTTCTCAACCTGTGAATCATGATACTTTTGGGGGAACGAACCATCCTTTCACAGTGGTCGTATATCAGGTATCCTGCATGCCAGATATTTAAATTATGATTCATACCAGTAGCAAAATTACAATATAAAGTAGCAGTAAAAATAATTTTATGGTTGTGGTCACCAGAGCATCAGGAACTGTATTAAAGGGTCGCAGCATTAGGAAGATTTAGAAGCACTGCTATGGGTAGTTTAGACGTTCCAGGCCGGCCCCCCCCCCCGTTTTGGAGACAGGGTTTCCTGGCTGCCTTGGAACTCGCTTGTAGACCAGGCTGGCTTCGAACTCAATGAAGATCTGCCTGCCTCTGCCTCCCAAGTGCTGGGATTAAAGGCATGTGCCACTGCTGCCTGGCTAGTATAGACTCTTTTAAAGTTTTAAAGTAGAGTCAGAGTCATGTTCAGGAAGCAGGGTTGTAAAGGTACAATACCTTGGACTAAGTGGAGCATGGCAATCCCAGGTCAAGGGAATAGAATGAAGTCACAACTTTTGAGGGGGTGGACAGGATGAAATGTAGGGTTTATCTTTTGAAAGTGGCAGAGGACCACTTTAAGCCTGATCTATATATCGAATTCCAGGACGGCTAAGGCTACACAGAGAAACATTATTTTGAAAATCAAAAACGAACGAACTATTAGCATAGGTACAAAACTCTCCAGAAAATTGTTTAGATTTGTTGGCATTGAAGAAGAGGACTTATCAAGTGGGAAAGACCAAAAGCAGGAATATTCCTGTGGATGGACTTCATGTGGTGAGGAGCTTAACCCATGTATATGTCATCTGTAGAGAACAGAGTTCTGTAGCCATAAAGATCTAGCCTCTCAAGAAGGCACGCACAGGCTTCTGCATCATGAGTGCAGGGGATAATTGGAGGCATTCCTGATCATCTGGCAGAAGGTGTGGAAGGAAGGGCTTATTTGACAACAATGGTAATCTCAGGCATTGAGTCTCCACTGTAGGGAGGATTGGAGAGAGGCTCTGCAGGTGCTTCTCATCATCCCGCTGACTAACTTTCCTGCTCCTTCAGGCCAAGCTACAAGGTCATGTGGAGCCACTTAGGAAACACCTCGAGGCTGTGCAGAAGATGAAGGCCAAGGAGGAGAGGCGGATGTCAGAGCTGAAGGTGGGTGATGTCTGTGAATGGGCTGACTGATTCTGTTGTCAGGGTAAGGAAGATGAGACTGGAAACTATCACATATAATGACTAGATCCCTGAAGAAAGAATAGCCAGGGCCTGGGAGGTGGGTAGGAAGCATGTTCCTTTCTTGTTTGTAAAATGCAGTGAAAACTGAGGCCTGGCTAGTTGAGACTGGTTGTCTGGTCTAAAGCTACGGAGTACACCCAGCCCTTGACAAAATCTGGATAGCACAGAAAGCAAGTGAGCAAATATAGCAAATGTTGCCAGAAGAGTACCAAGTCCCAGGATACACACAGATGGCAGGCAGAGCTGCCCTGAACCTTAAGTTAAGGGGTGCAGATAGCTCCTGTCTTCCTTCCCAGTGTTCTCAGTCCTTTCACATTTGTTCACCCCTCTTCAGGAGTCTCACTCCCTCATTTCCTGTCTTCAGAAGACTAGCAGGTTTTGCTGGAATGGACTGGTACTGTCACCAAGCTAAGCTTCAGCCATCAAATGACGATATTCTTTCCCTCTTAACCAAGTCCAGATGTTGCCAGATCTACAACCTGTAGTAGTGCCACCTGCACGTTAGGGACTCATTTCTGTGAAACGCCAATCACAATGTGCTATAAACAGAACCTGAGTTGGGAAATGGGGAATCATTCTGCCTCTGTCCAGCTGCCCAAGCTAATACTTTTAGAGTCCTCTGAGTTAGTTATACAGAATGCTGGGATCTGTGTCTTTGATAATCTTTATCTAGAGTAATGGAAAAAATCATTCAGAATGGTCTAGCCCAGGCAAATGGCTTAGGACTAAGCAGTTTTCTGTTGTTATAAACTGCTAAATATAGCTTGTATTCTATGTTATGTACTTCTTCAAGTTCAAATTGGGCATAGAAAAAAATGATGTCAGTACTTAACATATACAGACTACTTGTTGTTGTTGTTGTTGTTTGAAACAGAGTTTCTCTGTGTAGCTGTGGCTGTCCTGGAACTCACTCTGTAGACCAGGCTGGCCTTAAACTCAGAGATCCGCCTGCCTCTGCCTCCCAAGTGCTGGGGTTAAAAGGGGTGCACCACTACGCATGACCACCACTATACAGACCTTTAGTCTTTATTCCTGTGGGACTTGAAAAGCAGAAGCAAGTGGATCATTTGTGAGTTTGAGGCCAGTCTAGTCTACACAGTGAGACCCTGTCTCAATTCCTCCACCGCCCAAAAGAGAATAAAGACTTTTTTTGGGGGGGGGTGAAGGGGTGAGACAGGGTTTCCCTATATATCCTCAGCTGTCTTGGGACTTGCTCTATAGACCAGGTTTGCCTTGAACTCAGAGATCTGCCTGTTTCTGCCTTCCAAACACTGAAATTAAAGGTGTTGTGCCACCACTGCCAGCCAGTCTTTAACATATACAATATTGTCTTAGTTATTTTTCAATTGCTTTGAAGAAACATGATTATAAAGGCAACATATAAAATGTTTATTGGTCCTCATGATTCAGGGTGGTGGCCGCTAACAAAATTGTATGGACTTTTGGAATCTCAAAGCCCACTGTGGGTGACACACCTTCAACAGGGCCACAGCTCTTAAGGTCCACTTCAGTGACACATCTCCTTCAACTTTTCATCCTTCAAACCTTCTACCAACTGGGGACCAAGTATAGGTCAAGTATTCAAATATATGAGTCTATGGGGGTCATTCTCATTCAAACTACCACAAGTAAAATATATCTATTTAGTTAGTAGTATTTACATTGTATTGGGTATTATGAGATACTTAAAGTATATGGGAGTGTATACAGTATATGATATACCATTTTATATAAGGGATTTGCATATCTGCTGATTTGGGTCTCTTGGAACCAAGCCCACGTAATTATCTAGGAACAACTGTACCTACAAAATACTTTACTGTTGGCCCCTAAGTGTATAGTATTTTCTATTTGCACCTTTACAGAAGAGTCTGTAAAGGATTTGAGTGGTTATTCTCCTATGGCAACTGTGGCTACTGAGTAAGGACTTAATTTTGTAATATCTTTTGTGTTTTGAGACAAGATTCTTTTACATTAAAGCCCAAGCTGGCCTCAAATGTGAGTAATTAATTTGTTTCAGCCTCAAGAGTATTAGTATTATAGGTATGAACCCTCATGTCCAGCTTCAAGTCTTGTTTGCTGAACTCTCTTACATTTGCTAATTTCAAAAAATTATTACCAAGTACCTACCTGTGGTTGGCACTCTGGCAGCTTCTGGTGGCACTGTGGTACAGAGGCATGCACAGGTCCTCTCTGTGAGAGCATATGGAGAATTTTAAAAGATAATACAAAGCTGCGCATGGAGCTTTTATCTTTAAACTGGCAAACTGGAGGGGAGAATTTTGATTTTGAGGCCAGCCTGGGCTGCAAAGCAGGACTCTGTCTAAAAACCAGAACAGCTTTGCTGGCAAAATGACTTGATAACCTGAGTTTGATCCCTGGGACTCACATGGTGGGAAGAGAGAATCAACTCTTATAAGTTATCCTCTGACCTCCACACATGTTCCCCCAGTCCATCTCCATTATAACAGCACCTCCAACACATATACTATGGAGAGATACAGTGATATGGAGAGGAGAGAAGCTCCTTTGGAACATGTAAGCAAGCTTCCATCTGTAAAGTAAATTAGGCAGGACAGAGATAAGCATTCCACAGAAAGCAGTTGGTGAATTTGGACCATTATGCCAGTTTGGGCTATCACAGTGGTACAATAAGACAGCTTGTTTAGACAAAAGGGGGAGATGATGGGGAACCTTTTAAGCCAATCATCTTTAAGAGGTGGTTCTTAGTGAAGGCGTGGCTTCGCTGAGCCCCAGGGTAAAATGTGTGCACCTCCAGGCGCTCGCTCTCTGCACCTTTTCCCAAGGGACATTTCTGTACTTAGATTTTTTGTTTCCTGTTTCATGAGTTTTCCCCTTATAATAAATAAAATGTAATTGTTTTATCCTTAAAAAAAATAAAAGACTGAGATGGGGTGAGGAAACATCTCTTTTCTTTCCCAGGACTTGGCGTTAGGGATCACGAGGCTTCTGCCTGAGACTAAGAGTCATCAGATAGAAAACTGCAAATTTACCTTTCTGTATGTTCAATGGTGGCTTCCATTCCCATTGCATCTCTCCAATTTTTAATTTTTAAAATTTATTTTAGTGTATGTGTGTTTTGCCTGTATCTATGCATATGTATTCTTGTGCATGATTGGTGACCACAGAGGTCAAAAGAGAACATTGCATCTCCTAGAACTGGCTGCAGATGGTTGTGAGCTGCCATGTGGATGCTGGGAATCAAACGGAGGACCTCTGGAAAAGCAGGCAGTGCTCTTAACCACTGAACTATGTCTCCATGCCTGCCTTTGTCTTTCCAGAGCCAGATGAAATCAGAGTTGGCAGCTGTGGCCTCAGAGTTTGGGCGCCTAACACGGTTTCTGGCTGAAGAGCAGGCGGGACTAGAGCGGCGCCTCCGAGAGATGCATGAAGCTCAACTGGGACGTGCAGGAGCAGCAGCCCACCGCCTTGAAGAGCAGGCTGCCCAGCTCAGCCGCCTGCTAGCTGAAGCCCAAGAACGGAGCCAGCAGGGGGGCCTGCGGCTGCTGCAGGTGAGTGAGCACTGTCCTTCCTCTGCCATGCTCCACACTCCCCAGCTCCCTTTTTGTCCTGTTAGGCAGTGCTCATCAACCACTGCCCAGAACCGTCTGTTCCTCATTGGGAAGAACCCTAAGTCTTTTCATTTGAAGATGAGACTTTTTTGAGGCTGGTGACCATATCGAATGTGATATATGTTCCAGTCATATCTGAAGAAGGCAGATTCAGTTGTTAGAGATAGGGGCTCAAGAGCTGACAGAGTGATAGTTTGAGAAAGTGCTGGGGTCAGACTGAAAGTTACTGGGGCTTACAGCAGGATGAGATATGTTAGGTCTGTGGGTAGCAGGGTGGTTGAGGAGCACTCACGATTGTGATCCTGAAAAGTGTTGCTTTCTCCCTTCCTGTCAAAGTTTGGACCTTTCTTTAGTTGGAGACTGGGAGAGAGCAGCGAACTTGTGCAGCTGACACTTTCTTCTTTCTCTTTCATTCCCAGGACATCAAGGAGACTTTCAATAGGTGTGTTCCCACTCTACCCTTTGTACCCAGTTGTGTTTGGCTTCCCATTCCCGCCTCTCTTGAGACTTCCTTTCTCCTTCCCTCCCTCCCTCTTTCCCAGGAGCTAAGTTTCTCCTTCTCAGACCCTGTACTTCTTCCCCCTTAGCTTTTGTTCTTTACTCTGGGAATATCATGTTCCCACCCCCTACCTGGTCCCCTCCTCCAGGTGTGAAGAGATACAGTTGCAGCCCCCAGAGATTTGGTCCCCTGACCCATGCCAACCCCATAGTCACGACTTCCTGACAGACGCCATTGTGAGGAAAATGAGCCGGATGTTCTGTCAGGCTGCAAGAGGTAGGGAGGTCAATAACCTTCCTTTTTCCAGTCCTGAGTTGAGGTCCTGAGGGAAGTTTGGGGAACTGGGATGGAGTAGAACACTGGCTACGCTGAGGGTCCAAGTCAAGAGTTGCTTCTATGGTGGCCCAGCTGTTTTGGGTAGGTGGGGCGGACAAAAAAAAAAAAAAAAAAAGGAAAAGGGGAAGGCTGACAGGTAGTAGGAGAATTAAGGTGAAAGCCTCCAGGATGGGATTGGAGGGGGGAGGACAGAGGTGGAAAGGATGGCAACAGTGACACATCTGTGAGGATAAGGTGTTTTAGTTCTGCTATATTTGTCTTTGCTTTTTCCAAGTTGACCTGACGCTGGACCCTGACACAGCTCACCCAGCCCTTATGTTGTCCCCTGATCGTCGTGGGGTCCGCCTGGCAGAACGTCGGCAGGAGGTCCCTGAACATTCCAAGCGCTTCTCAACTGACTGCTGTGTACTAGGGGCCCAGGGCTTCCGCTCTGGCCGGCACTACTGGGAGGTAGAGGTGGGTGGGCGGCGAGGCTGGGCAGTGGGTGCTGCCCGTGAATCAACCCATCATAAAGAAAAAGTGAGCTCTGGGGGGTCATCTGTTAGCAGTGGGGATGCCGGCTCCTCACGCCATCACCATCGCCGCCGCCGGCTCCACCTGCCTCAGCAGCTCCTGCTCCAGCGGGAAGTATGGTGTGTGGGCACCCACGGCAAACGATACCAGGCACAGAGCTCAACAGAGCAGACACTGCTGAGCCCATGTGAGAAACCACGGCGCTTTGGCGTGTATCTGGACTATGAGGCTGGGCGCCTGGGATTCTACAATGCAGATACACTAGCCCACGTACATACCTTCTCAGCTGCCTTCCTTGGCGAGCGTGTCTTCCCTTTCTTCAGGGTGCTTTCCAAGGGCACCCGCATCAAGCTCTGCCCTTGATTGGCCTACCACCCGCAGGGGCCCCTCCAGTCACTGGAGGGGCGGGTGGTGGTGGATGTTTGCCCACTCACTATGTTTGTGAGCTCAGGCTCCTCCCACTGTTTCTTACTGAGTTGCTTCCTGCTCCCCCTTGAACCAGGCTGCTTATCGCTCTAGGAGCCTAAACAACTTCCTAGACTCCCTCCCTCCAACTGTTTTACCTACTTTATCTGACAAGTCTGCATGGGTCCCTGATCATGAGAACAGCTGCCTGATCTTCCCTCCCTGTCTGCCTAGCTCAGTCCAGCTCTGGGTCCCAATTTGAGTAGGGGAATGAGCAGAGATAACTTCATTTCTTAACTTTCCTCTTCCACATCTACTCTTCAACTCTTTTAATTTCTGAGGCTGGAGGGTTTGGGCAAGACCCATCCATTCCAATTCCACGTTTTGGTGCAAGCTTCAGCTAAGGGATTGGGAAGCTTTTGTGGGGAGGCAGGCTGGATAAAAGGGTAGAGCTGTGTAAAGTCTACTTTTTCTTGGGGAAGTAGGAACTCTTTAAGCTTTCCACCCCCAATTTCTACCTCCATAGAATGGCCAGAATTTAGCTTCAGTGAGATCTGTCTGGAATAGTCAACTTGACACCACACACCATCATATTACCCAATAAATTATTTCCTCTCAGTCTCCTAATTTAGGAGCCATGCCCCACACCTACCCCTCCAGGTCTTCACTGCCAGGATTATTTCCCCTCACTGAGCATCAGTTTCTGGCCTTTCCATACCTTTTAGCTCCACTTGGTAAGCCCTGTTGGGGAGCTTGGGACAGGGGTCTGGATCCTTGGGAGAGTCTTGAGTATAATCTATTTTTCTAGTAACCCCTTGCCTTCTGTCACTTAACAGCTTTGGTCCTCTGCTTTGGCTGAGGTCAAGTCATGTTCTTGGGGGAAAGGTGGGTCGTGTTGCAGAAAATAAAGTCTTTATTTGCTGCTGTTGTGGAGTCTTTAATTCATTAGAAGCAGCCTGCATGCTACCAAAAGTGCTTTCCACAGACAGCCCCAGAGCTGCTTATCACTTCCCCCCCTCCAAATCTATAGACTGAGATGAAACTAGTACTTCTGAGCTGAACTGCACCATAAGTGGTGGAATGGCATGGATTGTTGTGGCGTACAATTCAATGATGGTACAGAGCACCTATTGATTAAAGGCAACTCTGCCTAGTTGGGGATGAGACACAATGTGCACAGCCACCACTACAAATTAGGGTCTTGCTCACCAGGCAGATAGAAAAAAAGATGGCTGAGACCAGTCTCAGAAAGGTCAGCTTTATTTCTAATACTCTGATATGAACCTTTAGCGGGTGCCAATGGTCACTTGCCACACTCGGACCAGGTTGTCTGTGTAGCCAGCAAACAGGGTCTGTAAAAGAGAACAATAGGGTCATGCCAACCCAGCCATGATGAATGGCATGCTGAGCATATATTCCCATAGGAAGAGATTAAAGGTTGATAACTTTTATCTTTCCCCAGATGAAAATAATTTTCTACTAGTCTATCATTACTCTTATAAGTTCTTACCTGGCCATCAGCAGACCATGCCAGGGAGGTGCACTGGGGTGGCTCTGCTTTGCTGCTGGTGCTGATAACTTCTTGCTTCAGCTCATCTACAATGATCTTGCCCTCCAAGTCCTGGGAAAAGACCAAAACTAGGTAAGGATGCCCATAATACAGCTGATTATGCCATGGACTTATATTGTGCTGATCATGCTACATTTCCTTTTATGGAGCTGGCAAGGTGGCACAAGTTAAATGCCTTAAATAAACTGAAGGAAGCAGTTGGCCTGGCCATGAACAGACCCTGCACCCACCCACACAGTAACGCATAGACAGTAAGAGTCTGCTTACATAGTTCAGAATTCTAAGATTGTATTTTTCTTTAAAGGATGTATGAAACATTAACAACTCCCAATCATCTCAGAGCTCAATGGTACTTAGGAGGCCAAGGTAGGATTATAGGGCTGAGAAGATCTGATTGTACAATAAGCCCCCCCCCCAAAAACTTAAGCAGAAAGGTTGGGGTTACCCTTTGGTAGAGTACTTGCCTAGCATGTGCAAGGCCCCAGGTTCAATCTCTAATACCACCCCTGAGTAATGGCTACAGAATGAGGCCTTGGCTAGGCACTGTCCAAAATATATAAACAGTCTAGCTCACATAGTAATCACCCCAGTCTTTTTAGCTGTCTAAACTCCTTTAACAGAGATTACTAAATACTGACTGACAGAGCAAAGAAGGACTTTTCTACAAATGGTTCTAGGGATTGAATTTGGGGCTCTTGTACTGCATTTAAGTACTCGTAGGTAGATGCCATGTATTCTGACAGAACAGCCTGTCACAGGATAGTCTTTTTGGCCCCAAATGGCAATTATTACATTCAAGCAACTGCTGCACATAGGCATTCCCTATGTACATTCTCTTAGGCAAAAGTCAGCAAGCAAATTGTCAAGAAAAAGAAAATCCTGACCTCGCTTAATAGAACCTACCAAGAAAAGCTTGGCCTATAGCAGTGAAATCAATGTGCTTCACAACAGACCACACTTACCCAAATCTTGATACTGGGGCCAGTGGCAGCACATAGCCAGTAGCGGTTGGGGCTGAAACACAAGGCATTGATGATGTCCCCACCATCCAGTGTGTAAAGGTGTTTGCCTTCATTCAGATCCCACAGCATGGCTTGGCCATCCTGAACAGAGAGAAAAGGTGAGTTAGGACAAAGAAACCTAGTGACTGAAGCATGTGTTCATGCCCTCAAGCCTTCTTCTCTAATGCACAATACCCATACCAATTTACTTTTTGAGGGAAAACTTTTTTGGTATGCCTTTCTACAGATTTTAAGCTAATGCTTAGAAATATTCCTGCAGTCTAGCTAATCTTTTAACCGGTGCATGTTATCAGATAAAAGCACTCTCCATAAAGGAAATGAGGCCCCAAATACCTTGCCTCCAGAAGCACAGAGAGATCCATCTGGAGAGACTGTCACTGTATTCAGGTAGCCAGTGTGGCCAATGTGGTTGGTTTTCAGCTTGCAGTTAGCCAAATTCCATACCTAGGAAAAACGGGTCCATAGGGTGACCGGGATTAAGGTCTACCATCAATAAGAAATACACAACACCTTCTTTAAAGGTATCTCTGAACAGGCTTCTCACGCAAACCTATGTAATCCCAACACCTGGGTGGCTGAGACAGAGTGCTAATTTGAGGCCTGCTTGGATGGTACCCGAGTGAGAACTGGCCTCAAAATATAAGATAAACCATTAAAGAGCCGAGCCAAAGTCAAGGCAATCCGCAAACCATTCCAAACTGGAGCGCACTGCTAAATGAGAGGAATGGGGACAGAGTCTGGATTTCTAACAGCCATGCCCTTCTTGCTGCTCACCTTGACCAGCTTGTCCCATCCACAGGAGACGATGATAGGGTTGCTGCTATTAGGGGAGAAGCGGACACAAGACACCCATTCTGAATGACTCTCATCCTACAGAAGACACAGGAGTAAGGTAAGAGAAAGTAGTCTTTCTCTGTCTACAAATAAGCACCCTAAAGGAGGTGGAGGCAACAGCATTCTCACACTCGTTCCCTCAGAACCCGAGCCTTTACTTCAGATAACACAGCACAACACTTGTCAAGCCTGCTTGTCTACCCACTCCTAATGGAGCTCAGGGCCAGGCGCAGCTCAGAAACAGCCTCTGGATTTCAGCACTGCAACTCAGATGGCATGTTGGGGTCATCACTGCTCCGCCTGACATTAACTCCTTTAAGTACTTAAATATACCTCCAGGAGGTAGGTGAGAGACTTAAGATCAATCACCCAACCCTTAGGAAAGTTACTGGACACATCTGGCTTATTTGCTCATGTGCAAAGCCCTGTCCAATTAATGCCTTGGCTTGGGGTTCCATGTTGACTCTGGAGAAAAATTAATTCCTGAGTCCCTTGCCACTAATGAGTGAGCATGCATAGAAATAGTAAAAAGCAACCAAAATCCCACCGAAGACAACGCATCATTACATCTGCAGCCAGATGGTGGTGCACAGCTTAATTCCAGCACCCAGCAGGCAGATCTGAGTTCTACGCTAACCAGGAATACATAGTGATGACCCCATCTCAAACACAGCACCATGCCCCAAGGGGTGGGTGGGAGCCAATCTTGAACTCCTAGGTGTATGACCTCTACCACTTTACCTGGACAGTGTACTTGCAGACACCCAGAGTATTCCATAATTTTATGGTCTTGTCTCGGGATCCAGAGACAATCTGCCGGTTGTCGGAAGAGAAGGCAACACTCAGCACATCCTTAGTATGGCCTACAAATCGTCTCGTGGTGGTGCCCCTAAGAGGTAGAACCTGGTCACTTTCCAGACAAATTTTACCCATTTAGTCAGACCTCTCTCTTGGCTCCATCTTTGCTCCAGTAGGCTCTATCATGCCACACAGCTCACATCACATGTGGCCCACGTCCTATTAGCCTATGTCTGGTATGTGCCAGAGAACCCATTCAGAATTGCAGGACATGTCCTCATTCCCGTGTGGGGATTGGTTGACAATGTCTTCGTGTCATCACTAGGATCCTCTATCACACCTGCCAGATGAAACATTTTTAACTTCCTGCTGTACCTGGTAAAAAAATGCTCAACTAGACTCGTCCAGCCCTCAGCAACTCCATCTTATCTCATCCACAAAAGGATCAATTTTCAAAGGAAGACCACATCCTAGGGAATCTACCTCTACTTTGCCCAGCTCCCCTCCCCACCCAATGTCCCAAAGCAGCTACTTGCGTTGTGAGATCCCAGAGGCGCAGTGTTCCATCCCAGGAGCCTGAGAGGGCAAACTGGCCATCAGAGGAGATAACAACGTCACTAACAAAGTGGGAGTGACCTCGTAGAGCACGCTGTGGAATGCCGTAGTTGGTCTCGTCCCTGGTCAGCTTCCACATGATGATGGTCTTGTCTGAAAAGATTGGTAAAGAAATCCATGAAGCCCGACAGGCTACTTACATCCGGTGGGAACTGAAGTTAGAAGAGTGGCTTGTTACTCCAGAATTTAAAAACGCACTCTGAGACTATGGGCACCACAACGTCCTGGGCTTGAAACTTAAATTTAATCCCCCCCAAATTACATAATTGGGCACTGAATGTTTCACCTACACGTATGCCTATGGAATTCTTACAAGAGGATGTCAGCTCCCCCTTAACTAGTCTGCAGTCACCTTGTGGGTTCTGGGAAACAAACCCTACCTAATCTCCTTTAAGAGTTAACTAACTAGTCTTCTCTAACTGAAGCACAATCACTTAGGTGTGGGATAAGCAGAACCGCCTTCTGTGCCTTTCAAAGGTTGAGAGAATGCGGTAGCTATGGAGCAGATACAGCCCTAGTCGGATAAGCTTTACATTATTAGAGAGAATAAACATAAATTTTGGGTGGTTAGGGAGATGTGGGAGGGCAAAACACGATATAAGAAAATCATGGGAAAAAAAGCGTTACAAGGGAAGGAAACCTAGGGGAAGTAGGGCAAGACTGGAGGCCTGGGGAACAAGGCAGCCCCAGTTCCCACTGCTCACAGGGATCAGGGCCAAGCGGCGGCGGCTCAGAAACAGCCTCTGGATTTCAGCAAAGTTAACTCAGATGGCATGTTGGGGTCATCATTGCTCCACCAGGCTTGTGCCCCCTTAACTACATCTTCAGAAGACAAGCGAGAGACTTAAAGTTACCAATTCTTCGGAGAGTTACATGACACGTCTCGGTTTCCGTACATGTGCAGTGGTCGCCCTGGGGCACAGGTTCGAGTCCGCACGCCCCAACTCATACCTGCGTGGGGAGTGGACCAAGCCAGCCAGCCCGCGCGCGCGCCACTTGCAAAGCCAGGAGACTCGCAGTCCCCTGAACTACCAGTGCTCCGCCCGGCATGCAGCCCGTACCTCGAGACGCAGACAGGATCATGTC